CCGGGGGCGCCGGGCGGGGTCCCTCAGCTGCCCCTTGGCACAGCTCTGGTCTCGTGGAATCACAGGATGGTTTGGGCTGCAAGGGACCTTAGAGATCATGGAGTGCCACCCCCTGCCATGGGCAGTGACACCTCCCACTAGCCCAGGTTGCTCAAAGCCTCATCCAGCCTGGCCTGGAACCCCTCCAGGGATGGGGCATCCAGAGCATCCCTGGGCAGAACGTTCTCATGTCCCGGAGCGTTTCTCCTCGCTGTTAAGAACAGGGGTCCTTAACAAAGAGCTTGAGCGGCATCGTGGCCGCTTCTCTGTAGGCTCTGGATGACCAACCCGTTGCTGGGTGTTGGTAAAGGATGTGGTGGGGGGGGGAGTTAGTGTGGGTTTTTTAAATCCCCAAAGTAGCTCGCAGTGTGTGTGTGCAGGTCAGTTTCTTTTCTGTGTTACAGCATCCCTTCTCTCACATCAGTGTCTCCTCTTGTAACTTTAACATCATAAGTAGGAACAACTCCGAGATGTTAAGAGCGAGGCCTGCCTTTGTGTTTATCTGCAGGACCGACCTGTGAGATCTGTGATGCCCCTTGCTTGGAGACAAAGATTTTCATTTAGTGAAAACGCAGCTGATAGGCATTTGTTTTGAACGCTCCCCTGCTTTTTCCAGGGCAATGTATAATCAGCAGAGTCATAGGGCAGGTTTGTTTTTTAAAGGTGGAGGAAGAAAATAAAGGAAATAAATATTTTTGTCTTACTTAAAGCTGATCCAGATTCCTGTATATTTTTAGCTCTCAGAATGATGCGCTCTCCTTATCCTTTTTTTTGCATACAAAAAGCTGGCATCACTTTGGCCTGGGGAGATGCAGATGAAGAATTATTTTTTTGAATATAGTGCTCCTATTCTCTCCATCAGGATTACAACAAAGAATGGAAGCTTTCGGGACTGTCCTTTCATAATTGTGCTTTTGGTTTCCATAGGAACTTTTAGGGAAAGTTGTCTGCTGGTAATGTACAGAAGATGTCAAAAAGAAACCCTTGGGCGAGCAGCAATTTAAATGAGCTCTTATCTTACACATGTACAACAGGCTAGTGCTAATTTGAAGTTGCTGTTTCATCTGATCTGCCGTCAAAAGTACAGTTGCAGATATAAAATTACCAATAGCAAGTCCCTGATCTTGCAGGCATTTTATTGATCCCCAACATGAGAGGGGGGGAGCTTCTCTATCTACCAACTGAAAATAGGAGCGAGCTGTAAATTTTGGTGGAATCGGGGTACCTGTTGTGAAAAGTGGCAAGGCCAATTTTTTTTTTTTTTTTTAAGAACAAACAAAGGGAAAATGCTGCCTGTTCCTCCAGGTGCTGGCCAGAACCCTGTCCGGCAGGCAAGTGTCGCTGCGGGAATCCCATACTCTGTACCTGCCTGGAGCTGCCAGATGATCTGTGGGTCCGGTTTGAAAGCTGTAGTTCTGGCTGCTCAGTCCATCCTGACGGGAGACTCCAGCATCGTGGTCGCAGGAGGCATGGAAAGTATGAGCAAGGTAAAGCAAAGGATTGCACTCACATTGTGCTGACTTACTGGGAGCAAACAATTATGTCGAAACCCTGTAGTATTTCTAGGCTAAAGTGCTAGAGGCAGACTGAAAGTAGCTTTGGTTTCTGCACTTGGGAATGAATTTACACATGCAACAACTGACTTCAGTAGCACTTTAAAAAAAAAAAAAAAACCCCAAAAAAATGGTACTGTAGCTGCTGAAAAGATGCCATGCAAACACACGCCAGATTTAAAATTCCATTTTCATTTCCATCCAGCCATGTTGTGGTGAATGACTTGCTTGTGACAGCTGGCAATAGACAGGCTTTCTTTGATGCTAGAAGCCCGAAGAGGGAATGACTGGAAACATTATTGTTCACCAAGCAACTTGAGCCTGGAAAGGAAGCGAAGCACTTTAATTTCACGTTGTCCATCCCGAGGTTGTAGGGAGGAATGGTGCTGGGCCAGTGAGCCAGTGCCTAAGCAGGGGGTGGCCTCTTCTGCCGGGGCTCGCTAGCTGCCCGTGCTGAGAGCGGCGTTGGCGTTCCCTGACAGTGGGGTGCAGTTGGGAACCCCCTGGAGCAGACTGGTAGGATGAGGAACCCACGGCCACGTGGCCCCAGGGATGACTGGTTTGATCTGTGGAGTTAAAACACTGGCTGCTTGGTGATGCGCTGCTGGGAAAATGCATGGACCACGCCAGCTGGTGGACTCAGAGTGTACGGCTGGGGAGGCTGCCGGGATTTGGGGTCACAACCTGCAGCTGCAAGGCAGGGGTCTGTCTCTTCAGCTGTCTGGCTGTTCTGTGCACTGGAGATATAAACCATCTGACTCCTTTCGAAATGCCTTCTTGCAGGCTCCTCATGTCATTCACATGCGAGGTGGGGTGAAAATGGGAGAGGCTTCTTTGCAGGACACTATAATCCTGGATGGCCTTACAGATGCTTTTTATCAGTATCATATGGGTATAACAGGTAAGTGGTGACCGTCCAGAAAACAAAATGGTTAACTGGCGAGAGGGGGAGAATTCACTGACATGAAATTTCAGGAATCTGATGTTTCGGTTAAGGTGTTTCACGCTGTTTTTAAGTTGTAGTCGTGAAAAAGAAATAAATCCCTAATATTGAAGGGCATTGAAGGCATTTTCTGCTCTGTTTGTAAAGCTACTGGTTTTGTGATTTGAATTTTTTTTCCCTGTCTGAGCTGATCTCACTGCATCTCTTTCACATTTGAGCAGTTTAATTTAATTTTCAGGAAAAATAAACAAAACAATGTAGCTGGAGCATTCAGCAGCACAAATTTCCAGCGGGAGAGAATTACGTAAAGTGTACTAGGGATACAGGTGGTTCTGCAGCTGCAGGTTATTGCACCCTGGATGGGATATTCAGCCAGCTGGTTTGTCCGGCCCTGTAACTTCAGAGCTGTTCCCTCCTCTGAAGTAGCTGTAGAGAGATCTGAGCATAGTAATCCAGAGAAGCAATACACTAGAAAGCGTGTTTGCATTTGTATTTAACTTGATATAACATCTGGGAGGAGATCCCGCACAGAAATTTTCATCCTCAAAAGAAAATATAGTAGAGAATCCTGAGCAAACAAAATAAGGGAATTGGAGTAAAAACTGTTCAACAAGCTTAGCTGCTTGCCACAGCAAACATTAGTGACTATTTTTGTGCTTACAATTTTACAACTTAAAATTTTAGCATTTCCTGATGGCAATTTGCATTTTGTTTCTTTTTCAGCTGAAAATGTGGCCAGTCAGTGGCAAGTCAGCAGAGGGGAACAAGACCAGCTCGCTGTAGAGTCACAAAACAGGGCAGAGGCAGCACAGAAAGCTGGCTATTTTACAAAAGAAATTGTTCCTGTTCTTGTACCTTCTAAAAAAGGTAGGTGTGAATGGATAATGAGAGCTGATTTTAAAGAAAAAAAAAACTGGTTTCTACCATGTCTCCTATAACCTCTGGATGGTTTCCCACTTACACAGCCTTTTATGTAAGCTATTCTGTAAGCGTGGAGCCTGTTGCTCTATTTTTCAACTTTCAGCGGTCATTTTTTAAATAAGAGAGAAGCTGTGAATGTGTGGAATATCTAAATGTAGCTCTCCACAAATACTACTACTCTGTTTTACTGGAGATGTAATTACTATCCAGGCAAACCGCTGACTTAACGTAGCCTTGGATATGGTACCCAGATCGTTACTCCTTGTTTTGTTAGGCTCCTTCTGCACCAAACCTAAAACAGTCGTATTGATCTGGCAAACCTTGCCCACCTAGTAAAACCCACAGTGACAGTAATTAGGGTTACTCGTTCAGTTAGTTGCCTGTAACTAACTAGGTCAGGTTCCATCTATAAGTTATGCTTCTCTGTAGGTCTGTCAGGGATACAACAGGCCTATTGTGGTGCTTGAGCCAAAGCTCTCTTTCTAGAGCAGGATAATTCCCCCAGCTCCTTATGAGGTGGATGCAAAAACTGAATTTTCCAAACAGAAATCAACTATCAGTTGTTCAACATTTGCATTGACCTGACCCTGTGGGAAAAGTTCTGGCATTAGGGCGGTTACAAACTGATGAAGGGCTTTCCTGATATCAATGTAGATAATAATATTTAATGACACTTGACTACTCTTTGCAATTAAATTCCTACAAGTATCTACTTGTAGAGCTATTTGTTAAACGGCGCTGAGTTGGAACCACCAGAATGGCTTGTTGGTTAAAAGGAACGCTGCGTATCTTCCCGACCAACCTGCTGTTTGTGCCGGCGTTCTGTTCAAGGCGCGTGTGTGCGGTTAGACCCTCCTGTGAGTGTAACGCTCTGCTTTGCAGGTCCTATAGAAGTTAAAACAGATGAACACCCTCGACATGGGAGCAACTTGGAAACAGTGGCAAAGTTAAAGCCCTGCTTCCTGACAGACGGAACTGGGACAGTGACAGCAGCTAACGCTTCAGGTTGGTCCCTCTGGCTACAGCCAAAACAGGAGAGAACAGTAGCTGCTCGCGGCTGAAGGCAGGGTCTCCGCCAGAGGTTAGCCTGCTGTGTGGTTACTGCTGAATATATTTTGCAAGAAATGGCTATGATGTGTTTGGCATCATAGGTGGAACTCGAATATAACTGGTGGAGGATTTATTTACAGATGAGTTGTCCTTTGTTTGCTTGCTATGAAGCAATACAAGTTTTTGGACAATAACAGCAATATTTGATAGTCTGGAACAAATAGGAACTACATCCTCTCTTTTTAAAACTAGCTGTCTAGTGGATTCTAATGCTGCAGGGCTGGACAAAGGAAAACTTAACAATTCACATTTGAAAATGCTATTCCTGTGGGACTAACTCCTGCCCCAGGCAGCTTTGAAACTTCTTCCTTGGGTCCTTATGCTGCCTCTTCCAAAGTCTACCTAATAAATCTTTTGTGCTCCTTTTTCAGAGGGTGCCTCAATCCTTACACCTGCTGCTGTGCAAACAGAAATCACAAACGTGTCACATTTACAGCAGTATTGATATGTTACCGATTTTAAATGTTTGTGCCAGAGGTCAAACTTGTCTGAGCTGAACAATACTGACCTAAACCAATAAAAGGTTTGCGATTTTGGTTTTGTCTAGATTCTGAACTTATGCGAGCAGGAAAAGGTGGGACAGTAAAAGCCATAAAACCCAACAAATACATACACGTTGTTTGTCATTCCATAGGTGTGAACGATGGTGCTGCAGCTGTAATTGTAATGAAGAAATCAGAAGCTGCTAGGAGAGGTCTTACGCCTTTGGCTCAGATTGTATCTTGGGCTCAGACAGGTATAGATCCATCTATAATGGGAGTAGGGCCCATTTCCGCAATAAGGCAAGCTGTAAGTAATTATCTATCTGTGTATCCGTTATTTAAAAACTCTTGCTTGTAATCACTTCATTTTCTGGCCATGTCTTGATTTTTCTGTATTCTAAGGACAACTTAGTAGAAAAAATAAACTAAGCGAAAACAAGACTTAAAATAGCAGAGGGTATGTAAGATTTCTAGTGCCTACTTGAAAAAAAAAATCAATGTATAGGTGCATTGATGGGGTTCAGAGCATAAACTAGTTGGGTTTGTGAAACCTATGAAGCTAAAGATCAGATTTCCTGGATGTGTATACTAACGTGATTTGGGGATGATTTGGTTCTGCCACGATATGGTTCTGATGCTGTGTCTGGCCAGGTTAATCTTCAGTTCCCTGCCTGATGGTATGTGTAATAATACAACTGAGAGAAGGGCCAGCAAGTCTATCTACATTAGCAAATGTGACGGTGCCCTTTGGGTTCTAGTTTGCCCTGCAAAAATGTCAGAGTGTGCAAATTGGCTTCCTTTCGGATGGAACTAAACAAGGAGCTGCACTGCAGAACCACATCGAACAGGCCAGACCATTATTGCACCCACTGATGCGCTGTGTTCAGTCCCCGGGACAAGGTTCTCACATAAAGTGCCTCGAGGGAGCAGCCCCCGTGCTACCACACCGCTTGCCATTATAGGTGTAGCCCACGGCAGCCCCATTCGCTGAACTGCTGTGAAACCGAGCGTGAAAAGAGCTGATGGACAGCTGATCAGGATAGACTCCTTCTTAGTTTTATGTATACTGTGTAAGGGCCTGCTTTTGTTCATCTCTGAGATGTCCTGGCAGCGTAGAAGCCTAACGCGAGTTCATCCAAGCTCTGTGGCTTTTAATGGGAAAATCACAACTGTACTGCTGAAGCTTTTTCGTGTCAGATCTCAAACTGCTCTTTTAAATCAAGGATGCTGTAAAAGGATACATGATACACATTTTTAGTTTAAGTTGTAGAACAGACAAGCTGCAGTTAACAGGACTATGATTTTATAGGTACTCTGAAAAAGGGAACACTACATTTTAGTGTAACTTTGTACTGTGTGTGTTATCCAACACTTCACACCCTCCATAGATTAAGTTTCTCTCTTCAGAATTTCCTAGCAGCATTTTATAGTGAGAGAGGGACTAGGCAGTGCATTTTACTGCTGCAACCACATTGTAAATCTTAAATATATGACTTTTCCCAGAAGGCGAGGGGTTTCCATCCTGACTGTAATATCTATTAGGAAGAGGCCCTGTAGTCGTGGGGATGGACCAGTCTGTCTGGCTGGTTGTGAGACATGCCTGCTGCTGAGAGCATTGCTGTTAGAAACAGAGTGGAAGTAAAAATGTGAATATGTGAAACATGCCTAAGCCTGTACCCAGGTAGGCAATTGCACCCCAAGTTCCTCAAGTGAGAACATGAGCAAAACCATCTTCTAAAACAGCCCCTGTGAAAAAGCTTTGAGTGGCAACTTTAAAGGCAGGAGAGACTGGATGAATTATACTTGGCAGCCATCACTAACGGTAATTTCACAATTTCCTGTGTAAAAATCTGTGCTAAGAAGAGAATCTCTAATGGAATCGGACTTATGTCCTGAAAAGCTTGCTTTCAATCTGTGGAAACAGTACTTGTTCTTCTATTCAGGTACCACCATGAGTCGAATTGCACCACCACAAATAAGTGTGTAAAATTAGGATTTTTTAAGAGCAGCCAGCATGTTACATTACAGCACATTGTACTGACTTTTTGCTGACACTGAGATTTTGTCTGTTGTCGTCCACATTCTGCCATCAACGCTGGCTATAAAAATACACTTCGTTCAAGTTTTTAGAAACCATGTCTTCAAATCACCCCATTTAAGTCTTATGAAAAGCTTCCCCCAGTGCTGAGGAAAACCTAAAAGGTGACAAAGCCTTGTATTTATTTTCTCAGATTGCCAAAGCCAACTGGACTCTGGACCAAGTTGACCTGTTTGAAATTAATGAAGCCTTTGCATCGCTATCTCTTGCAATAGCAAAAGAACTGAAAGTAAATCTAGAAAAGGTAATTAACATATTTGAGGCTGTTGTTCCACTCTCTGCATCTGGGTAGTATTCCAAGAAGGTGAGAACAGTCCTCTTCAATCACTTTGCCATAAGGAAAAAGGACGGGAACGCCCATAGGAATTTCCTTATGCTACCATGCTGTTGCTGTGCTTTGGTAGCAGGCACACCCTTTCCTACTTGGCAAGGCTGCAACTTTTATCAACAGTAGATTTGAGCATACTTACCATTAACTTCAGAATTTGAAGTTGCTGCTGAAGTACATTTGCCACTATATTCTTCCCAGTGATGGTAAAAAAGTGCAGGTATTACTCTCACCTCCCCAGATTTACCTCAATTATCACCTTAATTATCTTCAGAGTAAAGAGGAGCCCCTTTCACAAGAAATCCTAACAGCTTTTTTTTTTTTCTCTAGATAAATATCCATGGTGGGGCTATCGCTCTTGGCCACCCTCTTGGCGCCTCTGGTTGCCGCATCCTTGTTACTCTTCTACATGCCCTGGAACGAACAGGTGGAAAACGTGGTGTTGCTGCTCTCTGTATAGGAGGAGGAATGGGAATAGCCATGTGCATTGAGAAATGAATGTGAATGAAGGGCTAGTGCTAACTAGCTTTCAAACAGCTTACTAATAAACTTCTCATCATGGAGCTTATGGTTGTTTTGCCTAAAATTAAATAAGCTTACTCTATTTTTGCCACTCAGTCATTCCCTTGACAAGATGATGAGTGGCTAAAGCATTAACACACACTAGAGCTTAAAGCTCAATGCAAGGACCAACCTCACTTTCAAAAACTAATTTGTTCACAAGAAAATAGCAGCAGCATTCAATCACTTGTTTTATTAACATTTTAGTTACAAGAGTGGGAAGTGTAGGTTAGACAAACATAAATAAAACCTAAGTTATTCTTCAAGTGCTCCAGAGTGAACTGCATCCTCATAGCACCCTCTCTCTTCTTTAGTTTCAGGGTGCAGTTTAATAAGATCATCAATTCGAAGAATAGTAATTGCAGCTTCTGTCGCGAACTTTAGACTCTTAGTTTTGACCATGGTTGGTTCAAAGACACCAGCTTGCTTGTTATCACGAGGTTTTCCATTGATCAAGTCAAGACCAATCCTGAAAATAAGAAGATTCTATATGAAGTAATGTTAGATGGAGAGGTAAAAAAAGTAGAAATATAGTTGGGAGGATGCTGTTTAACTATAACTAGGTCCCAGTGACACACACACAAGACTGAAGGAGAGAGTTTAGTGAGCATCTGGACCTTTTTTTTTTTTTTTGCATGCAAATCACAGTTCAGTAAACTGGCAGAACAATTTTCTATCTAAGTCACCAACCCACTTCACTTTTAATAGCCTTTACAGGTAGATACTTGCCATTTCAGATTTTTGCGATCTGGGTTAACCTGAGCCTCATTATGGAATGCTCTCAACTTCGCAACAAGATCAGTTGCATCTTGAGCAGCGTTTACTGCCAATGTGTTTGGAATTATTAAGAGGGATCTTGCAAATTCCGCTATTGCAAGCTGTTCACGTGATCCCTAGAAAGAGGAAAATGTTTTTTAAACCAACTGCTGCAATGAAAGAGGAAAAATACAGCTGTGATCAAGACTGTCAATAGTAGGTTAGGGTTTTCACATGCAAAACCTATTTTTAGGCCAAAGAACCATTTAGTCCAATTTCAGAGAAAGAGTAATTCGCATCCTCCCCCTTTTAAAGCAGCATCTTACGCTCTTTAAGACTATTAGGTTTCTGTGAAACACAGAACTGATGTATAGTAGAAGAAAATAGATGCTCAAAAATTCACATTCCCCTAGCCTAACACATGCACACCATGACCTCTTTGGGCAAGACTTACCATGCTGGTTGCATAATTTTCCAGATATATTGAAAGTGCTGCTTCTACAGCACCACCACCTGGGACAACAGACTTGGATTCCAATACCCTTTTAACAACACAGAGGGCATCATGTATAGATCGTTCCATTTCATCACACATGAAGTCATTAGCTCCTCGTAAGATAATTGATGCTGAAGTACGAGCCTTTGTACTAGGGAGAAAAGCCATCAGAAGTCAGCTGTGTTGAACAGAATATAAATTAAAACTATTCTTGACAAGTTTTTCTTTCTAAAACTAAGTTCAGTTGCGCCAGATTCTTTCAATGTTTAAAAGAAAATCATAACACTGTTATGCGCCCTTGCAGAATATGTACATTGTAACTTAGTAAGTCAATACTGAACTTTTAATATGCAAGAAACTAGTCTGAGTTTAGTCTTTCAGAGAAAGCTACTTGACAAAAGTATGACAGACAAGATGTTTTCTCATCACACAAGGGAAAAATGTAATTAGATACTACAAAAATTCTCTTTTGTATAGCCATCAAGTGAGCTAATGACTGCCAATATTCCAGCATAAGCAGTCATGTAACTGCCACACAAGTGCCGTGGTCAGAATATTTCACGCACAAATGAGACTACAGGAAGTTGAACACTGAGAAAGGATATTAAAGCACTAGGAAAGTTAATATACCCTTTTGTGGTCCATGTCATACTACCAAGCCGCTGACTGATCCAATGAAACCAGCAAAAGTAAACCTGTCTTCCACTACCAAAGGTCAAGATTTACTAGTGTGACTATACTGCTAAAAGCCAGGTAAAGGAATGTGATACAAATGCTGTAGTAAGTTCTCCAGCAATTAAATCCTTTCACCTCTAATTGGAAGTAGACTTGTATACTCTTTCCTATGTGTATAACTACTCACATCACTGAAAGTAAATAAATGCGATTTTATCTCAAACTTTGTAGAAAGTTTACACAAAACTGTGTATTTTAAAAACAATCCTTACTTCTTGATTAAAATCAGCTCATCATCACAGATCTTCTCTTGAATCACCTCTTCTGCCTGTCCCAGCATCAATGCTTCAAAACTCTCCTCACCTTCAAGGTTCGCAAGAGTTGAACAAATGGTTGCTTAAACAAACAAACAAAAGTGAAATTAGCATTCAATTCCAGCACATCCTTTGCCAACTTCCCAGAAGAGGCATACAGAAAAGAAGAACAGAAATTGAAAATGGAAATAAAAGCAGCTTAAATAGTTTTTTCTTCAACTCTATAGCACTTCTAATTCTTGGGTAGCAATTCGGTATTCCCCAGTTTATCATCAATATTGCTCTGTTTGATCAACTTTTTACAGTACTTACTTTTCCACAGCTACAAGTTCCTGTGCTTTACCACAATGAAAATGCTTTCTTGCAAATTTAAGAATTTATAGATAAAATTTATATAGGACCAGATTTTTTTTTCAGTATGTATTTAGCGATTTAGGAATTCTTCCTTTGTCTTGAACTATGTAAACAAGGTACTTAACACAATTCTCCAAACAGTGGCTGATGAACGTGTGCTTAATAAAGACTTCTGAATAAATACACATTCTGTCTCCCATTTCCATAAGACAGTCTTCCCAGTGCAAGGCAGCATTTTTTTCCCCACTGTTAAGTCTTCAGCAGTCGACTCTTAGGGTACTCATCTACTTTGACAGAATGGTCACTTAAAATGCAACAGTAAAGTTAAAACCTAACCAGCGTGGTTCAGCTCTACTGATCCTCTCCTTGCATGCTTGCATGTTAAGAAGCCATGTTTTGATAATTAGTTACCAAGAGCTTAAAAACTTAAAATACTTAAAAAAAAAACAGACATACCTCCAGATGCCTTAGCAATCCGCTTAAGGTCCTTTTTTGCAACTCTTCGTACTGCCATAGCACCAGCATCAATGAAGTATTTCAGACACATATCATCAATGCCTCCAGTGGTGAGAATAACATTGGCACCAGTGGCCAAGATCTTCTGGATCCTTTCTTTGGTAATATCTGATTCTCTGCAAGGACAAAGTCAAAGTTATAAAAATATAGTTGTAAGTCTGCAACCACATTCTGTCAACCCGTTTCCTGGTCTGCAAGAAGGCATCACTGCACAAACATACTTGGGATTTCTCAAAAACTGACTTAATACTAGCTCTGCCTCCAAAATTGAAAAGTTTACTTTTACCATTAATATTTTGTGTTGTTGGGAAACGTTAACACTTGAAACATTTTTACCTCTTGCGCTCTAGCCAAAATGACATCGACCCACCTCAACTTATGAGACCAAAACAAGCCTGTGAAACCCGACTGTCTCAGTTACTCAAGCTTCCACACACCTCTGCCTTATCTGGTCCAGCTTCTCAGGGTCTGAGATAACAATCTGAACACCAAGCTTCATTTTTGCTTTCTGCAGGCTGAAGTCAAGGCATGCAATCTTGGCATTAACTATTCTTTTGGTCATACCTGATGAGAGAGAACAAGAAAAAGGTTTTTATCAAATCAAGTTAACAGAACAAGAAGTTAGCATTAGAGATTAAAACTTATGCTACTTTCAGATTTCTACTCAGTTTGCTCCTCTGCCTCCAGTTCTGCCCTAGCACAGAAAAATGCTAAGACTTCCAAAGAGAAAAAAACCCCAAAACTCTTCTGTAACCTCTGCTACCTTTCTACAGACCCCACCCCCAAAACGCGAATGACCATGAAAAGCTGACCCAACAGTCTCACATACTTTAGGTCACCTAATCACAACACAGCTCTGCTAAGTGTAACAGTTCCCTACAAAACTGATATTGGCTCCTCAACAGGGAGGTGCTTATGTTCCAGAAGATCACGGTTTCACCATGCTGATACTAAGCTAGAGAAACTACAGTAACTTGCCAACACTTTGTGGATCATTACTAGCCTAGAAACCACAGTGAAGTGATAAGGGTTTTTTGCATTCTTGTTTAACTGTTCTGGAATTGAAAACCCCCATGATTTGCAACTAATGCAAAAAGAAGATCCATGCAGAAAGACTAAGGGGACTGAATTCACACAGAAGCTTTACGAAACATAGCATGTTCTTACCCTGTGAGCCCACCACGCAGTTCAGAGCGTAACCGTTCACAAGTATGCTCTCTTTTTGGCTGCGGCCATGTGCCTTCAAAACATTTACTGAGTTGATTGGATACCGAGCCTGACCCTTCTGGTCTGTGTATTTAACTGCCAGTGCAGCATCCACCACCATATTAGCAAAGAAATCACCATCACTACAATGCTGTTAAGGTTAAAACTGAAGAAGAAAACTAGTGTTCTGCTTCAGAAAAAAAGAAGTCACTGACAGTGCCCAAACTAAGAATCAAGAACTGTTTCCAAACAAGAACTCCAAAAAGGTATGGAAGTGCTAGGTTTCTTTACTATTTACTTAAAGGAATGAGTAAATCTTAAAGCTGAAACACTGGTAAGAAAATTAAGACAGGCTAGTGTCGTGCCTGCATTTTACACACCTTTTGTTCCTTACCAAAAAACACCTAACTTGTGGTCAGTCTGCATCCCCTTGTGAGCACAGAGGCTAAAAATAAAGGTTTTTCTTTGAAGTAAAATGCAACCTTCTTCCCTCTAGTTTCCCTCCCCAGGTACTCAACTTCTATAACACATTCTTCCATTCACACAATTCTGGATTCGTCTCACTAGCTAAGGAACCAATGCACTGTTAAAGCTATTGTGATGTGCCTAACCATGTTTAAATAAATTGGAAGAGTCTGAACATGTTTTCTCATGCCAGATAGTAATACCTGTGAAAAGT